AGAAAGCTGTTTCCGAAATGGAACAGTAGTTTAACTGGTGCCCATAGGGGATGTTTGCATTGTAGGCAGCAGCTTAACAAACCACGGTATCATAAGAGCAGGCCCCAAACCTGTCCTCCTCTGTCCCAGATTGCTAACTCTTAAGCTTATGTTCATTGGACTTTGATCAGTTCAGGAATTCCAGTTGGAGTTGCATCCATCCTATGAGTGGCAATGTCAGTCCAGGTTTGGGTTCTTGGAAGTAGTGATTTTTTCTGGATCCTCCTATTGGTCTGCTGTTTTCACTGCAACAGATGCCCCTGTGACATCAGTTCTTGGCTGAATCTAAGAGATGTTGTTTTTCAGTAAGTTCAGCTCTTTACTTGTTATGAAAATGGGAGTGATGACTCCAACCTCCTTAACCTTTGTACTGGAAGCTGCCTTCAAACGTGGAAAGCAAATGAGGAAAAATAAAATAAGTTGCTCTCTGTTTTCGTTGGGTTCTTTTAAAAGCAGAGCCAGAGACAAGTACTAGGAAGAGTGGTGAATTTGAGAAATGGCCCTTAGGAGTATTAGTGAGGGTCTATAAAGTGAATCAGGAACAGGAGTAAACGTTACACCTTATTCAAGCACCTCACTTGAGCTTGATGTTTCCCATTGGCCAGGAGGGGCCTTGGCTTTCATAGGGAACACACGCTCACCACTGCCTTGGAACAGAGTGTGGATCAGTTCCACTGGGTTAAGACCACATGAGCTGGAAAAAAAAAAAAGTAAGTGACTATCAAGGATGGGAGTCAGGAGCCCTATTTCTATGGTCACAAAGGTTTTGCCAGCATGCATGTCCTTTCTTCTCTAGAGCTCAGTTTTCAATCAAGCCCACAGAGGCTGTTTCTACTAAATTAAAAACAAAACAAAACGAAACAAAACAAAACAAAAAAACACATCCTAATGGTTATCTGTAGGCGTGGGCTCCCAGTGAACCTCAAAAAGCCTTAAACATGCAGGTATTCACAGAAATTGTGCAAACAGGGCCCAGTACAATGGCTCAATTGGCTAATCTTCTACCTTCAAGCACCAGCATCCCATATTGGCACTGTGTGCACCACATACTCCACATCCCATCCAGCTCCCTACTTGTGTTGTGGGAAAGCAGCAGAAGAGAAAAAGGGCTTAGGACCCTGTACACATGTGTGAGACCCAGAAGCTTCTGGCTCCTTTAGAACAATTCATCTCTGGCATGGGGAGTAAACTAACAGATAGCAGACCTTTCTCTCCATCTCTCCTTCTCTCTGTAAATCTGCCTTTCCAATAAAAATAAACAAACCATTTAAAAGTGTGAAATAAATGACTCATTTGAGAAATCATCAATTATCATTTCAGAATTTCAGAATTTTCTCTAGGTTTTTTTTTGAGTGGAAAGTTTTCTCCATTGTTTCCTTAGCTATAGCCTTTGGGTCTGGGTAGCAGCTGGCTCTGGATATAGGGCTTTATGTCCCTTCCTACTCTGCCTTCTCCAGGGTGGTGTTTCAACTTAGTTGGACCTGGGTCCTGCTGAGAAGAGCTGGCCTTGGTCAGGAAAGTACATGCAGCGTGGCCTGGGAGATTGGATGAGGAGGTGTGGCAGGAATGTAAAACTTGCTTCATCTGGATTGCTGAGTGATTTGTTCTCTCTGAGGCTTTAGACAAATTTCTCTTTAGGCTTCCCCCTACACATACTGCAATTATTTTTAAAAATATATGTATTTGCAATTTTATCTCATTTTATCTCCAAAGTGTTTATGAAAGACTTCATGGTAACTTCAAAGAAATATGCCACATAATAACAGCAACAATAACAAAAGACTTAAAAGCACTTTTGATTTGCATGCTAGGTTCCAATATCTGCTTTTAAACACGCCTTCTCAACAGCCCTTTACTCTGGGTAATATTATTGCAATGTTATCATTCTCACTGCTTAGAATTGGAGGCACAAAGAAGTTAAGGGACATTCCATAAGGCCATCAAGGTGGCCAGCCTTTATCTTAGAGGAAGAGTCTAGAAAAATGAGGTAAGGGAAAAATGAAGCTAGATGCTCCTTATAAGGTCTGCCAGTTGTCTAAGCTCTGTTTGAAACTAAGGTCTATGGCACTAACAGTTGATAGGTATTTGGTAACTGTGTGACATACTCTTTTTAAAGCATAATCTTTCTTACTTTCTCTCTTTCTTTCTTTCTCTCTCTCTTTCTTTCTTTCTTTCTTTCTTTCTTTCTTTCTTTCTTTCTTCCTTCTTCTCCTCTCTCTTTCTTCTCCTTCCTTCTTCTTTCCTTCTTCTTCTTCTTTCTTTCTTTCTTTCTTTCTTTCTTTCTTTCTTCTTTCTTTCTTCTTCTTTCTTTCTTTCTTTCTTTCTTTCTTTCTTTCTTTCTCTCTTTCTTTCTTTCTTTCTTTCTTTCTTCTCTCTCTTTCTTTCTTTCTTTCTTTCTTTCTTTCTTTCTTCCTTCCGTCCTTCCTTCCTTCCTTCCTTCCTTCCTTCTTTCTTTCTTCCTTCCTTTTTTCTTTCTTTCTTTTTGCTGCAATGCAGCCCTAACTGGAGAGTGGTCCATAACATGTTTCCAGGAGCTTCAGTCCCAAGAATGAAATTCATAGAGGAGCAGATGAAGATGGCCCTCTGATCCTGCCTAAACAGCTCCCTGTGCTTCCTGCCTGCTCATCCACCATCATCCCTCCTGTAGGAATGCACAGACCTTCTGGGAATTTGTTGTGGCATCAGAGGAATCTGAGAGATAGCTCTGCCACTTTGTCAATGTGGAGGTAAAAATAAATGAGTGTGTTTGGCATCATCAACACAGCAAAATCAAGTCTAGAACTAATTCTTCCCTACTTAGAAGAGCTGAAGTAGGCCCAGTGTGGTAGCATATAGACTAATCTGCCTATGGTGCTGGCATCCAATAAAGGCTCCAGTTCAAGTCCCAGAAGCTCCACTTATAATACAGCTCCCTGCTAATAGTCTGGCAAAACAGCAGCGGATAATGGTTCAAGGCCTTGGGCTACTACACCCATGAGGGAAACCTGAAAGATGGCCCCATCTCCCAGCTCCAGCTGCTGAGGTCATTTGGGGAGTTAACCGGCGGATGAAAGATTCTCTCTCTTTCTCTCTCTCTCTCTCTCTGTGTCCTCCTCTCTAGCTTTGGTTTTCAAGTAATATAAAATAAAACTTGAAGAGCTGAAGCAAGCCCTCCCCCATTGAAATATCTTAAACTTTTATTTTGTATCTGTTGTGCATGTACTCAGCAGAGTTTGCTTTGACAAGTCAGATTTTCCAAAGGTAAGTCAGATTACTACTACCATATCCTTGCTTAATTGTCTCCTTTAACCAGACTGAACTCCTCCATCCTCTTCCACCTTTGAGCTTCAGCAATTTCAGAAATAAATGATCAGGTGGAAGAACTGCACACATAGGTGAGTGCTACCTCCTCTGTGAGTCTGATCCTCATCTAGCCCTTTCACTTCTATATAGCTTTCTTTATTCTGAAGCTAAAATGTCTCCAAGAAGAATACGTGTGTGTGTGTGTGTGTGTGTGTGTGTGTGTGTGTTTGTGTGTGTGTGTTAAGCTTTGCCTTAACCCTATTTGTAATGGGCCATGCGGTATTTAAAAAATAGAGATACAGCTAAGGTTACAAAAACTAAATGTAAACCTGGGTTAAACCAAATCTATCTCAGCTTCAGTTTCTGCAACCTGTACACTAAGGAGAGCTGATCATTGCAGGATTGTCAAGAATGTTTCAATTACCAATCAGTTGGTTGTGGCTGTCTGGGACACTAAGATCAGAGGGATTCTGATTTTTTTTTTTACCATGTGAAACACTCAACTTTATTCGCTTTATTTATATATTTAACAATTCTAAATTATTTACTTCTTGCTTTGACCAGAAAAAAAAAAAAAGAAAAAATATAGGAGCACTGACTCCTCTTTAGGAGAAAAGAGTTATATGTACAACTACGGAGAGTTACAGTTCCTCCGTTATGTACAAAGGAAAATATTTTAAAAGTGCTTCATTGATCAAAAAAGGGCTAAGAGCTGCAAGCATTTATTCACACTGTACATCAGACCCAAGAAACCCATATCATAACCTCTTGGCACCTGTCATAGGAACTGCACAACTTACAGTTAGCCATGCTTCTCATGACACAGAGAAAAAGTTGAAGACACTGATTAACATCATCTGCTGGGGCACAGCAAGGGCGGCTACTGTTTGCAGTCTCAACGCTAGATGACCCTGCAGGCTCAGCCTGACCGCAAAATGCCCCAAATCCAAGTTTTTTCCTGCAACCCCTTTTTCCACAGTTGGTCTGTGATTAATTTCCTTTGGGAAATCTTCCTTTTTCTGAGCTGTCTGTAGTTCTTTGCCCAGTCAATGGCAAGGGACCCACAGCCCACGGAAGCCTGAAGCTGACCCTTATCACTGTGTTCTTGGACAAGTCAGTTCCCTTCATTGGGTCTCAGTGAGATGGAAACAGGTAGCTCTCTGACAACTACCATCTTCCACAACCTTGGCTCCCCAGAGTTCTAATGCTTTTGTGCCATAATAAAAACAGTAATAAAATAAAAATAGAAATAGCAATCAAGGGGGTTGTAAGGGCTGGGAGGACACTTTCATTAGTTTTCTTCTTTTTGTCCTTCTTATCAGGTAATGGGCTTTCTCTAGCCCTACTATCTCCTACCATACCTTCCTGTCCCCAGTCTCATGTCCTGGAACCAGGGTGACCTGGAGCAGTAAGTGATGTAAATTAAAGGAGACTTGAGAAACAGCAGTTGAGGCTGAAGGAGGTCATGCCATGTAGTGCTTTGTCTGAGGTGGGAAAGGAGAGAATAAAATAAAGATGATTTACAAGCATTCCCCCAATCTAGAACAGCACTGCGAGTTTTGCTTTTTGCTGACAGCACTCTGCTGCCCTCTGTCGGAAGGAAGCATGCCCACCCCATGCAAAAACGAAAAAGATTGATGACGTCTAAACCCAGAAACTGAAACTGATTGTTTTTTTTCCTTGCTAAGCCGAGAGTTGAATTGTATGTGACTCACTGCACACAGGCTCTCAACCTCAGCGGAAGAAAATGAGTTTAGAGGAAGAGGAATGGGCGCAGAGATTTCAAGAACTGATCAAAAATGAGAACCCCTGGGCCAAATGGACCCTGAAACTGGATGAGAACCTGAAGCCAGGCAACCTGGCCCAGGGCTGGCGGCAATATCAGCAGAGAGCCTTTGGCAGGTGGGTCTGGCTTTCCTGGGGTTAGTCCTTCCTTCGCAAAAAGAACGGGCTTAGGGCTGCTTCTTCCCTTGGTGAGTTGGGGAAAGAGTCCCAAGAGAGACTCCAAGCCTCCACGAGGAAAGTTTGTTCTTTGATGAAACTTCCTTCCTTGCAGAATTCTTGCATGTCCCATAAACTTAAAAAAAATTTTTTTTTTGGTATGTGTGTGTTTAAGTTTATTTAAAAAGTCAGGAAATCACGGACTTATGGAAGCCATATTCAGGTATAGAGTGGACAGGGAGGGGAAAGGTGGAAGAGAGATGTTTCTACTTTTATCGAGGGTGCACTGAAAGAGAGAGAGCACCCCTTCTGGTTGCTTGGCTTCTTATGAAGGGGTGTGGTTACATGATACCCCCAAGTCCTGGATGAGAGGGAGTACATCCTGGGGCAAAAGTCATTGATTGACAGATAGGCGGACTGTGTTACATAGGGCAGTGGAGGTACCGCTTCCAATTCATGACTCTAAACTAGCTACCTGCCTGTCCCATTTCATTCTCCCCTCAGAAACGTCCAACCCTTTTTCTTAAGGGTTGTTGAAGGACATAGAAGCATCTCATCATCTGTAGCTACTTCCTGCTAATTAGGGGTGTCGGGCTTGCCTGTCCCAGGTTCATAAATCTCTCCATATTTCATCTAATGGATTTCTTGCATGAGAAATTCCAACCAGTGCCCTGGTTAGTGTCTTTTACCATCATCATTGCCATTCTGAGGACTCACTGACCATTTTCGTCTTTTGAAGTGGCATTCAAAGTCCTCAACTAGTGCACAGGACTAGGCTGACTCATGATTCCTGTGGACCTGGGTGTGATTCTTTCCCCTGTATAGGAATCAGCACAGGGGAAGTACAATGAACTGTGTGTTCTGATGCTAGGACAACACATTCCTTCCTCCCTCATCTCCACCCTAGACTATGACCCATGAGATCAGAGATCCTGTCACACCTGAGACCAGCTGAATGTGAAACTCCAGGTTTCTTGGTGATATTAAAGGCCACCAGTACCCAGCCCCAAAGCCCCCAACTTCTAACCTTTAGCTTGGTATGGTGGTGTGTCATGTGTATGACCACCTAGGACCTGTTGGACCCCTGGCCTGCTGCTGCCAGACTATCCAGTGGTGCACTTGTGGGTATAGCCTGTCTAGAACGCTGGTAACAGGCCCTGGATCTGCTGCCCCATGACTGGCATGGTCTGCCTGGTACCCCAGCGTCTGGCCCCTGGCTTGCCATGTCCCATAAGTTTGCCCTCATTGTGCCACCACTTTATCTGTTTTAGGAGTCAACAACAACCCACCACCTTTGTTGGGAGGATGAGAATGGCTGACCTGGACAACCAAGTCCTCTCCTTCCATATGGTACTGGTCCCCTACTCATGAGTCCCTGTCCTGCCTCTAAGCTCTGCTCCCTACCTGATCCTTAGCCATGCCATGCATTCTCAGGGGTCTGTACCCTTGTTCAGGATGCTCTGCCTGTTGGGCAAGTCCTTTCTTCATTCCCTTTCTAATCTTCTTAAGCGCCACCTTCCCATAAAAGCATTCCCTGACCTCCAAGACAGAGTAAATGATCTGTCTTCTCCTTATCTATGATACTGATCTTTTATATGTATAATATATTTCAGTGGTTTTTATATAAAATACAATACACAATTATGACATATTTCAAAAAATATATTCATAAATAACATTAACTTGTATGATGCATGTTCAATAAATGATATTATCTACTGTTCCCTGCAGAATTTCTTCACTAAAACAGTAAAGACTCTCAAGGGCTCTGCAGAATACTTTCCTAAGCCACTTGCCAAGGCCTGAATAGCAGCCATTTTGTTCTGTATTTTTTTTTTACATTTCTTTTTTTTTTTAAATTTATTTTATGTGATACAGTTTTATAGGCACTGGGGATTCCCCCCACCCCTCCCATACCCCTCCCCCCATAGTGGATTCCTCCACCTTGTTGCATAACCACAGTTCAAGTTCAGTTGAGATTCCTTCATTGCAAGCATATACCTAGCATAAAGTCCAGCATCTTATTGTCCAGATAAGTTCAGTGGCCTCTTGGGCAGACCTTCTCTGGTCTGAAGGTAGAGCTAACAGGGTAAAGTTCCGGTCAGTTAAAATCCCCAACAAAACATCAGCATCAATATACATTATGGAATTAATTGATATAGTATTGAGTAAACAATATGTTAAAAATAATGCAAGTTCAATTCTTCAAAACATCTGGGTTGAGACAGTATCAATGACAGGCTCAAAAGATAACAAACAATCAAGCAAAAATTACAGGTTAAATCAAGGCAAACATGTGGTATCTAATCTTTTGGGATTCACTCATTTCCCTTAGCATTATAGTTTCCAGTTGGGCCCATTTAGCCACAAAGAACTGCATTTTGTTTTTTTTAATAGCTGAGTAGTATTCCATGGAGTAGATGAACCAAAGTTTTCTTATCCAATCTTCTGCTGATGGGCATTTCGGTTGCTTCCATGTTTTTGCAATTACTGATTGTGCTGCTATGAACATAGGGATGCATGTTGGTTTGTCGTGAAACAGGTGTTTTGGATGTATTCCTAGGAGTGCTATTGCTGGGTCATATGGCATGCAGATTCCGAGTTGTTTGAGTGTTCTCCAGACTGATTTCCATAAAGGCTGTACCAATTTGCAGCTCCACCAGCAGTGGAGTAGGGTTCCCTTTTCCCCGCATCCTCGCCAGCAAGCGTCGTTGGTGTTCTTGTTTATGTGGGCCAATCTTACTGGTGTTAGGTGGTACCTCATCGATGTCTTAATTTGGATTTCCCTCATTGCCAGGGAACTGGAGTGTGTTTTCATATGTTTGTTTGCCATTTGGGCTTGTTCCTTTGTGAAATATTTGCCCATTTCCCGTGCCCATTTCTTGAGTGGCTTGTTTGTTTTGGATTTTTTTGTTGTTTTGGAGTTCTTTGTATATCCTGGAGATTAGCCCACTATCTCCTACATAGTGCGCGAAGATCTTCTCCCATTCTGTCGGTTGCTTTTTTACTTTGCTGATTGTTTCCCTTGCTGTGCAGAAGCTTCTTAGTTTGATGAGGTCCCATTTGTTTATTCTGTTCTTAACTGCTATGCTTTTGGCGTCCTTCTTAGAAAGTCAGGACCTACTTCTAGGTCTTGCAGGGTATTTCCTACATTTTCTTGCAAGAGTTTGAAGGTTTCTGGATGTAGGTTTAGGTCTTTTATCCATGTAGATTGGATCTTAGTGTATGGTGACAGGTGTGGGTCTATCTTTTTGTGTCTGCAGGCTATCAGCCAGTTGTCCCAATAACATTTACTGAAGAGGCCTTCCCATTTGCTTGGATTGTCGTTGGTCTTTTTGTCAAAGATTAATTGGCTGTATTTGTGTGGGTTCCCTTTTGGTGCTTCTATTCTATTCCATTGATCTTCCTCTCTATCTTTGTGCCAGTACCAGGCTGTTTTGATAACCACTGCTCTATAGTATGTCCAGAGGTCCGGAACTGTGATTCCCCCTGCTAGCTTCTTATTCTTTAGGATGGTTCTAGCTATTCGTGGTTTTTTGTGTTTCCAGATGAGTTTTTGAATTATGTGTCTAGTTCTGTGAAGGATGTTTTGGGCAATTTGATTGGCATTGCATTGAAAGTGTATATTGCTTTTGGTAGTATAGACTTTTAATGATGTTGGTTTTACCTATCCAGGAGCATGGAATGTTATTCCATCTTTTGAGGTCTTGTTCAATTTCTTTTTTGAGTAGTTTGTAGTTTTCTTCGAATAGGTCTCCTACTCTTTTAATTAGATTTATTCCCAGATACTTCATACTTTTCTCTACTATTTTGAATGGTATCTTGCTGGTTAGGTCTTTTTCCATCTTGGGGCTGTTTGCATACACAATGGCTGTTGATTTTTGTTCATTAATTTTGTACCCTGCTACTCTGCCACTCTGCCAAACTCTTGTATAAGTTCTAGTAGTTTCTGTATTGAGTCTCCTGGCTTTTCTATGTACTGGAGCATGTCATCTGCATATAGTGAAAGCTTGACTTCTTCGTTCCCCATTTGTTTGCCTTTGATTTCTTTTTCTTGTCTTATGGCCTCTGCAAGTACCTCTAGGACTATGTTGAATAGCAGTGGAGATAGTGGGCATCCTTGTCTTGTTCCAGATCTCAGCGGGAAGGGTTCTAACTTTTCTCCATTCAGTACGATGCTGGCGTTGGGTTTTTCATAAATTGCTTTGATTATGTTGTGGATTTTTCCATCTATGCCTACCTTAGTTAGAGTTTTTAGCATGAAGAGGTGTTGGATCTTGTCAAAAGCTTTTTTTCTGCGTCTATTGATACTATCATGTGGTTCTTGTTTTTTAGCTTTTGGATGTGATGTATCACATTAATGGATTTCCGAATGTTGAACCATCCTTGCTTTCCAGGGATTTTTTAACCTGGTGAGCCATGGAGTGTTGCTCTCTGCAACAGTAGTAACTCTTCCCAAATAGGAAAGTGCTTGCCTGTTCAGCTGAATTGATTTGACAGTCTTCTTGAGATGGGAAAAGCAACCTGTCTGTGGAGTTTTGAAAATAATTGATTAGCTTGTGGTGGGGGGTTGGGTGGGAGGCATTTTGTAATTTTTAAGAGTTTTCATGTATGTTGTTGCTTCCAATGTGGACAACATCAGTTTTGGATATTTTTCTTTTTATGGGTTAGAAAAAGAAACATGTGGCTTAGGTTAGCTATGGATTTGGCCTTTTAACTCGAGTAGTGGTGCCAAGTTACTCTCTAGGTGCAAAATGGAGTATGTTGCCTACCAGTGGTAATGCTAGTAGCAGGTGATGAACAAGGTTGACCTCAAGTGGCCTAGGATTTGAAATGTCACTGACCAGGTTTGTTTCATTCATACTAATCATTCCTTATGCAGTTCAATAGAAGTGCTTTGCAGATGAAGTGGCATCTCACTGTGAGGCACCCATTTCAGCACCAGCCTCCGGAGAGGGACCTGCCAACACTATTTGGCAGCAAGTTTACCCACTACACCATGACATGGTTCTGGTCTCCAGAAAGTTTTTACATGTTTTCCAATCCAATGCTGTGTGTATGGATGTATGTATGCTGTAAGTATGTTGTATCATACTGAGAAATTTTTCTGGCACAGAGATATTTGACTTGCAAGTAGACAGAGGTGGAAACAATCTATGGGCAGAAACCCAGCAGGCCACAAGCACAAATTTTATCTGAAATACAATTGGTAATGTTCTTGCCTTGTCAGTGACTGGGATAACCTACATTGCTGCAATGCTTCCAGGTGGAAAAGACACTAGAGACAAGCCTAGAATCGTTGCCCCCAGAGACCAGTCATCCTTTGAGGTTACAATGAGCTTTGTTCTTGTGCCTACAGGTTTCAGTGCTCCTCTTGCTGGCGAAGCTGGGCCTCTGCACAGACGCAAATCCTGTGCCACATGTACTGGGACCCCCAGAATTGCCGGGGCCAGGTGCTCATGCGAGTCTTTGGTCAGAGGTGCCAGAAGTGCTTCTGGTCAGGATTTGAGAAGCCCGAGTTCTCTTCAGAGAGCATTACGCAGATCCTGAACAACCTGGTGCAGAGTATTTTGGACAGATACTACCGAGATGGCTCCCGAAAGTCTTCCAGGATGCCGGTGAAGGTGGAGGTTCCTTTGGATGGACCCCATGACAGGACCAACTGTGAGGCTTGTATGCTGGGCTTTTGTGTGCAAGGATTTCAAAGCCACGTGCTACCGTCAGCCAAATCTTTACCCTCAACTATGACTCAGACCAATGGGTGTAACTCTGTCCAAAAGTGGGCAGGGCTGAGCCATCCGAAGGGAAACCATGGAGAAAGCAGCAGCAGGTCTCCAGGAAGGCTGATAAACATAGTGACACCTTTGGGAGGGCTTAGTGACACAAATGGTTACGAGAGAGGCTTTCAAGGCTCCTATTTTCAAAGCCACAAGACAGAGCCATCCAAACCTGCATGTTCCTATACAAATAATTTTCAGTATCAGTCAGGGGTTGACCTTGATTTGGATGGCAGCACAGGGGCCGGCAGCACTTTTGGGTTTGGGCATTTTGCTGGGTTGTTTTGTTTGATACTTTCTTTTATTTTGCGACTTATTTTGAAATAGGTTTGCTTTCTTGTCTTGTTTTGTCTAATTTCATGATAATCACTTTACTGTGTAACACTTATATATGACAGAGAATTGATCCCTGAAACCAATCAGGGTCAAGTTTACAAAATGAATAATGTTTTCTTGGATATTTTCTGAAAAATAGCCTAAAATATATCCAGGAACATGAAGGACTCAACAATAAATGCATGCTGAATCTACTAGTTCTTCATTCATTTGTTTACTGTTTTATTCAGTAGTATCAACAGATGTAGAGAGATCACATCATGGCAAGAAGTGATGGTGACAAGTGTTATCAGAGACTTAGGAAGTAGTCTGAATGATGGTTGTCTTCATCCAGATGTTCGTGTTCTAACTGCTAATTTACATGGCAGAACAGGCTTTTCACAGGGATTCCTACGATGCTCTGGTGACAGATTATTTTGCATTATCCAGGTGAGTAACAGCAAGTGCCCTTACAAGAGAGAAGCAAGAAAGTCAAATTTGGAAAATGGAGATTGGTGACAGGACCAGAGGTACGAAGATGGAGAACCGGGAGTTAAAGGGGTATCAGCAGCCTTTAGACACTCGAAAGGCATAGAGCCTGGTTCTCTCCTGGAACCCTCAGAAGAATCCAGATCTGACTTCACATCATTCAGATTTGAGATTTTGACCTCAGGAGTGACAAGACAGCAAATCTGCATTATTTTAAGTCATTGAGATGGTGGTCATTTGGTAGAGTAGCAATAGGAAATTAATCAAGTGGTCAATGTCACAGCAGGAGCCAGGCATTTATGTTTGAGCTATGCTTCAGTGTGACTGAGAACACAGGCATTGCATACACTAGAAACATCTTTCCATCTCATCCCCTTTTGGTCTTCTTTCTTTCCTAATTAATCCACTCAAACATTTCTATCCCAAGGAGATTTCCATTTATTTGTGATTCCTGAAGCTATCCTATCCTCTCACTCCTTTCAGCATTGGATTGGAAAACATGTAAAAACTTTCTGGAGACCAGAACCATGTCATGGTGTAGTGGGTAAGCTTGCTGCCAAATAGTGTTGGTATTCAGGTGGTGCCAGTTCAAGTCTTAGTTGTTCCTTTTCCAATCAAGCTCCCTGCTAATGTGCCTAAGAAAGCAATAAAGAATGGCCCGATTGTTTTGGCTTCTACACCCATGTGAAAGACCAGGAAATTCCTGGCTCCTGACTTTGACTAGGGCCAACTCCAGCTGCCGTGGCCATTTGGGGAGCAAACCACAGGACAGATTGATTTTTTACTTTCTTTCTTTCTTTCTTTCTTTCTTTCTTTCTTTCTTTCTTTCTTTCTTTCTTTCTTTCTTTCTTTCTCTTTCTCTTTTCTCTTTCTCTCTTTTCTCTGTCTTTCTCTCTCTCTCTTTTAAAGATTTATGTATTTGTATTGGAAAGTCAGATTTACAAAGAGAAAGAGAGACAGAGAGAAAGATCTTTCACTTGCTGGTTCACTCCTCAAGTGGCCACAATGGCTGGAGCCAGTCTGAAGCCAGGAGCTAGGAGCTTTCGCAAGGTCTCTCACAAGGATGCAGGGTGTTGAAGCTTTGGGCTGTCCTTAACTGCTTTCCCAGGCCACAAACAGGAAGCTGGATTGGAAGTGGGGTCACTGGGACGTGAATCAACGCCAATATGAGATTCCAGAACTTGCAAGGTGAGGATTCAGGCACTGAGCCATCGAGCCAGGCTTCTGCCTTTCAAACATATTTATAAATAAAATTTAAAAATAATTAATGAAAAATAACTCCTTTCATTTTCTCTTAATCCATCCTCATTAGTACTTTCCCTTTAAATATAACCTCTCCCCAAGTTACCTTTTTGAATTTCTGCATCCTTTATGTTTAAATACCTTTTTGGTTCCTTTATAAGGAGTACTACTTGGGGGACCAGCTTGGAGACATTTTATAGCCTTGCCATGTTTTATCACCTGGCACAATTGTTATTCCTCCTGAGCTTCAATTGCTCCATTTATAAAGTAGTTAAATGGAAGATCTTTGTCTCTGTGTCTCCTCTCTGTAAATTTGCCTTTCCAATGCAAATAAATAAATCTTTTAAAAATAAAAAAATGCATAGGGAAAGCAAAACATAAAGGATTGCATGTATGTATTTACTTCTGGTAGTTCTTCAAATTACAGTGAGTGAGAGTAGAAAGGGGAGTGGCGGGAAGGCATCAACACACTGGCAAAGAGAATGGTTATGTTACTGAAGATGACTTCTTGAGGATACCCATCTTCACACAAGAAGTAACTCAAGTAGGAGACAGAGTCACAGTGAGCAAGCTGGCAAAATCCTGAGTCGCTAGGTATCCAGTCTGGTTGATATCCCCATAACTTGTACTACTATTCCTACCCTCTTGCTTGTCTATTAATTACACCTGGAAGAAGGACCTTCCAGTATTCTTTATATGAAAAAATGTACAAGAAAAATATTAATGTTCAAGCTGAGCACCTGCCACTGCATAGTCTTGGGGTGACAATTTTCTACTACTTGTTTTTTTCTACTATCTTGTCTTGATTTTTATTTCTTTACCCCAGCATCTTAGCTGGTTTCTTGTCTTGGCATCTTTGCTTAGGTGGCTTAAATAGTTAAGTTAGCTAACCCTTATCCTTGAGGAGTTTGAGCTCTTGCTCAGAAAATCCTTTTTAGTGTGCAGTTATTTTCCCCCTCATGCAGAATTGGCCAGTGAACTAACAAGAGACATCCCTGTGAATCGTCTGGGTGTCAAACACATCGAACCACTTACATTGTGTAGCAGTAGTCCTGTTTCCCTCTGATGATCATCTTAGAGGTCTTTCTTGCTGAATTGCTTCCTTGCAAAGAATTTTGAGATAACCAGCCATAGCTGGACATGAGACTCTTGAATAGAACCATTCACCAGTTGAATCTCTAGAACTTACAGATTGTTAAGTTGTTAAGTAGCACAGAGATGGCTACTGATTTCATGTAAATGATCATAAACAAGGCTACTCCTACTTCTCCTGTTCTTCTGCCTGTTGGAACCACGGTATCATATATTGGTAATTGCTTCAGGATATGTATAGTACATATTCTGGTAGATGGTGACTCATCTTTAGCTGCATCTTTTCTGGATTTTCAGCTTCTGTGTAGTGAAGACATGGGATCAGGAAGTAGAGAAAAACCAAGGGAGCTGCTAGACTGTTGGAGAAGCCTGCTCCCTGAATACTGTGTCTCTGCAGCCAGCCTAGGCACAAGTCCATCACACTTGGATCAGGTTGACAGAAGACTCCAAAAGAGGTTGTTCCCAAAGGAAAAACATGGAGAAATGAGGAGTTATCAGATCCATTCAAATATCTAGAGAGTTAACATTTCTAACAGTTTTGGGAAAGAGTTTGATAGGATCCTAGAAAAGTAAACAAAGAAACAAAAAATAAAAGCCAAGGCAATTATTAACTTGAGGAGTTACAAAAAAGATTGTACTAGAAAATTAATTTGGCCAGCACAACATTTAAAGACCATACTGGGGCCCGCACTTTCTAGTTGTGTGCGTGGGAGTATGCATGTGGATTGCTTGGGGAAAGGGGTTAAGGAATGCTGGGTATGTTTGGGAGTGGGGTCACTGAGAGAGTACTTTACAGGTGTAGAATGATTTCTTGGGGGCTTCTAAGGACTGGATCACTGCATTCACAGGTGAGGAGTGACTTTGGGGACCTTCCATAGACCAGGCCACTGCATTCATAGGTAAACAAAGAGGCTGAGATGGAGTAACTTACAAAGGGGAAATAAGAGGGCATACCTTGGTCAGATCAAGACACTCACCCATGTTGGAGAATTGGGTTGGGCTAAGTGGCATTACCTGCTCGCTTCTGGTGCACATAGAAGCTTGGTTTGGGGGGGTCTGCCTGGCAAGGATAGACCACAGTAATCCCAACCCCTGAGGCTGGGCAAGGTGTGGTTGTGCTGTAGCACCCATTGATGAGAGCCAGAATGGGTGCGGGCCAATTGGGCCAGTGCACAGTACCCACCAATGAATGCCGGGACTGAAGTGGGCCATGTCATACTGAGCCAAGCACCCACCAGCACGTGAGATATGTGACAGGGAGCTGATCTAAGAGAACTTGGGGAACTCCCTGTTGGGTTGTAGCTTCTACTGGTGAGCACAAGGCTGGGGACAGCCTATGTTAGGCCAAGCTATCGTATCTATCAGGATATATGTGGACTGGGTTTAGGGATGGGTTAGGCTGCGCCACTCTTCAGCACCAGCTGGCAGGTATGAGAACCAGGACAGGGTCCAGACCAGGCCAGAATAGGTCACAACACCTGGCAGTTCACATGAGGACAAGACTAGGGTCTGGACAGGCTGGGTTAGGCCTCATCAGCGTAAGCTGGAAATGGGGATAGGGTGGGCAAGCACTTGCAATGCCCACCAAGGAATGTCAAGGTGTGGCAAATCATGCCAGACTTGGCTGCAGGACACACTGGCATTTGCAAGACCCAGGGCTGGGGACAAGCCTGTAAGGGAATTTCATGAACCCTATTGCTATGCCACTGTTCCCATGGTGAGCATGAGATCTGTGACTGGGGTTGGACCTAGTTAGTCAGAGCTACAATACCCATCAGCCTGAGTGTGAGATGGGTAAGGGAGGGCCAGGCTAGGCTAGACAGTTGCATACCCTGGTGCATACAAAAGCCAGAATGAGAAAAGGCCAGCCAGGCTTTGCCACAACATCCCCTGGAAAGTGCTAGCACTGGCTACAAGTCATGTCAGGCTAGTCCACAGTAAGCCCTGGAGAAGCTCAAGCTCCGGGGCTGGGAGTGGGCCTTGTAGCAACATTGCAGACATTATTCTGCTAGGCTGCTGCTCTTGTTAGTGAGCATGCGAGCTGGGGCTGGGGTGGGCCAGGCTGAACAAGACAACAGCACCTGTAGGCATACAGTGCGGGTCTGAGGATGGATCATGCTGAGCTAAACCACATAACCCGTGGGTGTGTATGAGAGGAGGATAGGATGTAGAATGGCCAGCAAATTCTCACATGCTGGCACATGTAGGAACCAGGGCTGGAGGAAGGCTTGATGAGGTTATTAGGGGTCACCCTGACTAGCCTACGTTCCCTCTGGTGCATAAGAGTAAAGTATTTGGCCTGCTGCAGTGGACTAGGCTGCAGTGCCTGTTTGTTTATGTTGGTGATATGTGTAGGGGTGGAACTGACCAGGCAACTGCATTTACCAGT